TTGATGCTAGAGGCAATTGCTATTGTTTGTGCACCTAAGTACAACCAAATTGAATACTTCCATTTAACTCCAGGAAATGGTGTACAAGTTATAAATAATTGTGAGAAAACCGGTTTCCATCCACACACTACTGAAGAAACTATTTTTGAGGTAGCAGGTCATGTTAGGATAGATGATGTGAATCTTGAAGTGATTGATCTGCGGTTGCTACAGTTTTCCCAAACAACAACCGAAAAATAGCAAGGTACCTATCTGTACTGGCTTTAATTTTATTCAGAATGAAATTGCTCTGGTATGATATCTCATTATCTTCTATTATTTCTGTATTTAGTTGAGACGACATGCCATACAATACATGAATATATCAGATCGATCCACATACACTGATGATCCAGTATCAGAAGTAGCTTCATTCCCAGATAACACAATGGAACAAACAAAGGTCTTTGAAAATAATGTATGGAGTAAGTATATGATCTGACAAATCTATGTTCATTCATAAATTATTTTTTTATGTAACTTGGTTTTTTTCATGATGATTCATTCCAGGATATTTGGGTTACTATCTGGATCATCATTTGAGTCATCAATGAAAAAAACAAGGTCTTTGAAAATAATGTATGGAGTAAGTATATAATCTGAAGAGTCTAGTATGTTCATTCATAAATATTTTTTTTATGTAACTTGTTTTTTTTTTCATGATGATTTATTCCAGGATATTTGGGATACTATCTGGATCATCATTTGAGGATATTTACAATGAAAAAAACGAAGGTCTTTGAAAATAATGTATGGAGTAAGTATATGATCTGAAAAATCTATGTTCATTCATAAATTATTTTTTTATGTAACTTGGTTTTTTTCATGATGATTTATTCCAGGATATTTGGGTTACTATCTGGATCATTATTTTAGTCATCAATGAAAAAAACAAAGGTCTCCTAAAATAATGTATGAAAAATCTATGTTCATTCATTAATTAATTTTTTATGTAACTTGGTTTTTTATAATGATTTATTCCAGAATATTTGGGCCACTATCTGGATCATCATTTGAGGATATTTATCAATGAAAAAAGCAAAGGTCTCAGAAAATAATGTATGGAGTAAGTATACCTATGTCATCTGGAAAATCTATGTTCATTCATAAATTGATTTTTTATGTAACTTGGTTTCTTTCATGATGATTAATTCCAGGATATCTGGGATACTATCTGGATCATCATTTGAAGATAATCATCAATGAAAAAAACAAAGGTCTTCGAAGATAATGTATGTAGTGAGTATATGTCATCTGAAAAATCTATGTTCATTCAAAAATTGATTTTTTATGTAACTTGGGTTTTTTGTAATGATTAATTCCAGAATATTTGGGCCACTATCTAGATCATCAACTCATCAATGAAAAGAACAAAGGTATCTGAAAATGAAGTATGGAGTAAGTATATATGCCATCTGAAAAATCTATCCTGGAGAAGCATCAATTCCTGCTATCCGCAGAGCAGTCTTCACCCAACCAGCCAGATACATTCCAAGCAGATACAACGAGATAGCAGACAATCTGTCTCGTCAAAAGTCTCTTCCAGAGTGGCATCTTTCACAAACGATAACAGACCAAATCTTCAAGATATGGGGAGTGCCGGAAATCGATCTATTCGCTTCCAGCGTATCAGCAGTGGTTCCCAAATATGTGTCAATGGATGCGACAGATCAAAAAGCAGAATATGTGGATGCATTCAGCAGACAATGGACATATCAAATTATAATCGAGTAATATTAACCCGAATATCTAAAAATATCAAGCAGATATGTGATGTTGAATTCAGTTGCAAAACTTGCCAATTTGCAGTACATTTCAACAGCTGTTTGGTTACTTTCTTTCAATTGTATTCATAATTCAAGGATTTTCTAACTTGTCCTGATCCAATGGACATCTTAAAAATGAGTATTCTCCACACAGTCTACTTCTGCAGCCATCCACAACACAATACGTAATAGACATACTCATTAGGTATCTAATTCACTATTAGGCTATTATTCAGGACACTCGGTATAGCAAGATCGATGCGCTCACTCGATCCACTGTGTATGTAGCTGACTGAAGGTCGCCTACTGAAACCAACTGCGGTCTAGACAAGGAAAGGGGAAGGTAGCCGCGGCACGTTCGGCGGCATTTCGGGGAGTGACGATAGTGGTGTTACGTGTTACCTATTCTCAACGGTCGGCGCCAATGACAGGATACCAGCAAATGAGCAAACTTCAGTTGGTTACGTTCAGTGACAGTGGGAAGTAGTTGTTGAAAGTCTCACGTTCATATTATATATTTGAAGTTTCATTGTGGACTACTAGTGAACCTACAAGGATTATACCTGCATGAAATATTATTATTTACAACTGAATTGGATTGGGAATTTGTTTCTATAAGTCCTTATAGAACACCTGTTTCTCAAGAAAACAGTTATTTCAAAAGTACTAATTAGGTATGTTTGTTGAATAGAATAGGATCGCAAATATGTTGATGTATACCTATTTGATTATCTGATTTTGGTGGTAATGAAAGATTGATATGCTCAGATTTTAAATGTGATAACATCTAATGTGCGAGTAGCGTGCGATTTTAGTGGGTTAGAAGAGATGGTTCAAGTATATTAGCGATTTTTGTATTGAAGTGTTGATTTTGCCATAGTGGGTTAGAAGAGATGGTTCAAGTATATAATAATAATAATAATAATAATAATAATAATAAGTAATAATACATTCTATCATCCCTTCAGACAATCACATTTGTATAGGACTAGTCAGATATCAGATGAAAAAGTACTAAATCTAAAATTAAAATTAAAATTCAAAGTAAAAACTCTTGGTAAAAAAGTGGACAAATATTAAATTTTAGTAATCACATATCACATTTTATAAAATTCCTGTACACAGTAAATAGATTTTTCTAATAAAAACAATTCCAACTTATTTCTGAATATTTTTAAGGTTTTACAACTTTTCAATTCCATGGGCAATACATTGAACATACGAAGGGCTGTTGGAGTGGGTGAATTATAAGATAACATATTTTTGCAATAAGGTATGTGAAAATCCATTGTCTGTCTAGTATTCAAAGAATGAATATTTCCATTTTTCAGAAATCCATCTTGGTTAGCAAATGCATATGCACATAATTCTAATATGTATATACCAGCTAATGTCAATATTGAGAATTTTCGAAAAATGTCTCTACAGCTGGTAGAACGAGACACACCAGCAATGATTCTAATTAATTTCTTCTGGGCGATGAATACATCTTTGGATGGAGAAGATCCTCCCCATATGACAACCCCATAACCTAAGCGTGACTCGACTTGAGCATGATATAACATTATTAACTGATTTTCATTCAAAATTGAACGGAAAACTTTCAAAATACACGTGGATGAGAGTTTTTTTCTATGGATGTATTCCTCTGATGGTACTCAATAATATGTATGTTTCACGATATTTTGTCGTGCAAGAATTAACCCCACAGGCCCCCTTTTTCGAAATTTCGAAAAAAAACCATAACTTTTTCAAAATACACATGAATGGGAGTTTTTTCCTATGGATTTGTTTCTCTGATAGTACCTGATGATATTTATATCCCACAATATTTTGAAGGGAAGAATTCACCCCACAGGACCTCTTTTTTGGAATTTCGTAAAACAATCATAACTTTTTCAAAAAACACGTGGATAAGAGTTTTTTTATGAATGTGTTCCTCTGATAGTACCTAATAATATGTATATCTCACAATATTTTGTCGGACAAGAAATAACCCCACAGGCCCCCTTTTTCGGAATTTCGAAAAAAATCATAACTTTTTCAAAGTACACGTGGACGAGAGTTTTTTCCATGAATGTATTCCTCTGATGGTACTCAATAATATGTATATCTCACAATATTTTGTCGGGCAAGAATTAACCCCACAGGCCCCTTTTTTCGGAATTTTGAAAAAAAAATCATAACTTTTTCAAAATACACGTGGATGGGAGTTTTTTTCTATGAATGTGTTCCTCTGATGGTACTCAATGATATGTATATTTCAGAATACTTTGTCGGGCAAGAATTAACCCCACAGGCCCCCTTTTCCGGAATTTCGAAAAAAAAATCATAACTTTTCAAAATACACGTGGATGGGATTTTTTTTCTATGAATGTGTTACTCTGATAATACTTAATAATGTTTGGATCTCACAATATTTTGTCGGGCAAGAATTAATCCCACAGGCCCCCTTTTTCGGAATTTCGAAAAACAATAATAACTTCTTCAAAAAACACGTGGATAGTTATTTCCTATGATTGTGTTCCTTTGATAGCACCTAATAATATGTGCATCTCACAATGTTTTGTGGGGCAAGAATTAACTCCACAGGCCCCCTTTTTTGGAATTTCGAAAAAAAAAATAACTCTTTCAAAATACACATGAATGGGAGTTTTTCTCAATCAATTTGTTCCTCTGATAGTACCTAATGATATGTATATCTCACAATATTTTGTCGGGCAAGAATTTACCCCACAGGCCTACTTTTTAAACAAAAAATCCGAGCTCTGGTAGCTGGCCCACCCCGCATCATTTGCGCTGCTACCCGCTTGTAACTGGCCCATTCCGTATTTGCGCTGGTGCCCGCTTGTCGTGTGTCTTCGATTATGAATAATGATGACGTCATGTTTGCAGGTCACAACCTTCTTTAGAGCTCTATACTGTGTCCCAACTTTTTTTCATTTCATTTCCATCCTTGCCGTCGCACGCGTCGCCGCTTAGTCGTCTTGCTCAAAAAATAATCATCGTTGTTCGTTTGAGCTGTTTTGCTATTTGTGCAGTTTTTATGCTTGCTGAAATATTTCGTTATAGGACCATTATTCATTATTTACAATAGTTTTTCAATACCTTACGGTGTCCGATCTAGCGAGTAGGTGTGAATGTAACAGGCTTTTTCGTTGAAAGTACCTATTATTCAGCGCGAGAAAAATCAGTATGGTAAGTTATTGACCGATTAAACTAATGAAGAACAAAAAGGATTGATTTTTTTAGGATGCTGGAAGAAGAAAAGGTGATCGGAACATTCGCACAATAGATTCCTATTTTATGATTCCGTCAAAAAAATCAAAGCAAAACCCGGATTCCGAATGTTCTGAAACTGTTGCTACTACTGCATCAGGTAATTAACTGAAAGGTCATTTTGGAATTTTCAATTGAAGACTTTTATGTAGTCGTGCATCTAATTTACACATCTCACTCTTTTTTCAGACAATATTCATAATAATCAAAATTGCCCAGTTACCAGTGATGCTACTGTTGTTACTATCAATATGCCATTGACAAGTAAAGATAAAGAGAAGCCGGAGGCAAAACATCAGAATGATATTGGATTTCACATAGGCAAAAATATTGACGACTTTACAAAAAATGTCCTTCTAGAGAAACCTTGGATGCCTGATGACAAATACAAATACCCGTATTCACTCCATCCAAAGGGAAACGGACAAATGGTTAAAAGATACTTATCCAAGGAGCATATTCAGAAATATAACTGGCTTGTTTATTCTGATGTCAAGCAGGGTTTGTTTTGCAAATATTGTGCCTTATTTGCTAAAGAATAAGCCGGTCATAATAAAGGTGCCAAATTGCAAAATCTGCTCTCACAAAATTCAAAGATTTAACATCTAAAGATGGATATATTGAGACTCATTACAGGAACGAGTACCATAAAGAGTGTATCACTGCAGCAAAAAAATTCTTGAGGACATATCGTCAACCTCAATCGGAAGTAGTGAACTTATTATCATCGCAAAGAATGCGGCAGGTTGAAGAAAACCGCGCTAGATTGCGTCCAATAATTGAAAGTATTTTGTTTCTGGGTAGGCAAAACATTTCCCTCAGGGGTCACAGAGATGATGGCAACCTGTTGTCTGATGAGCAGTCTGAAATATCGAACGAGGGTAACTTTCGCGCTCTTCTGAATTTTCGAATTCAGTCAGGTGACAAAGTATTGGAGTCTCATTTGAAGAACACATCATCTCGTGCCACTTACATAAGTAAAACTACCCAAAATATACTTATAAACTGTTGTGGTCAAGAAGTCACTACACGCCTTATTGAAAAAATCAAGAAAGCTCGATACTGGTCGATCATATTTGACGAAACTACAGATCTAGCTCATATAGAGCAAATTGTGATAGTTGTCAGATATTTAGATGAAGATAAAGTCAGGGAAGACTTCATCAAATTTATTGATGCTTATGACTCTCTTCACAATAATACTGGAAGTGCTGGTGCTGATGCAGATCATGGAACACGAGAGTATAAGTTAACTGGTAAGAACTTAGCTGATATAGTTTCAAAATCTCTCGCTGATCTTGGTTTGAATCTTGAATACTGTATAGGAATTGGTACTGATGGATGTTCAGTCATGACTTCTGAAAAGAAAGGTGCAGTATCAGAATTCCAGAAAATTGCTAGTAATGCCAATCGTGTTTCTTGCTACAATCATGCTTTGAACAATGCAATTTCACAATCATCTAAAATCCAGAGTATTCGTAATACCGTAGGAGTTGTTAAGGAAGTCATTTCTTTTTTCAACCAGTCTGCTAAAAGAAATTCTGTTCTGAAATCTGTTGTAGGCAAGCAGCTCATGAGCCTTTGCGAGACCAGATGGGTAGAAAGACACGACTCCTTCATAATTTTTTCTGAAGCTTTGCCTAAAGTTATCAAAGCACTAGAAGAAATATCTCACTGGAATGATAATAATTCTTCGAAGAGTGCGAGTATATTCATGAACACTTTATGTACAACAGATTTCATTATAGCTTTGACTTCCATAATAGATATTTTGAAAATAACTTTACCCTTGAGCCGACTACTTCAAAAACCGACCTTAGATTTGAAGCAAGGATCTGATGCAGTAAATGATACCTTATCATTACTGAAACAAAAAAGGGAACATTGTGATAGATATTTTTCTGATGTATATAAAACAGTCATATCTGCTGCTTCCAATTTAGACATTGATCTGAAACTACCACGTTTGAGCGGAAGGCAAACACATAGAGAAAACTATGAAGCGAATAATGTGGAAACTTATTACAGGAGATCATTAAACATACCATTATTGGAAATTGTGATCAATGACCTGCAGAGTAGATTTTCTCAAGAGACATTGGAATGCTATGACCTGAGACTTATTTTACCAACACCAACAGGAATTCTGAACTGTGATATGGATTCCGAAACTAGAATACAAAATGTTGCGAAGAGGTACCAACAAATTCTTCCAGACGGTTTCTCAACTATTAGTTTTGAAGGTGAATTAGCGATGTGGAAAGCGAAGTGGCTCAGGGATAGTGATAATTTACCGGAAGACGTATTTTCAACATTGGATGGGTGCGATAACGACTTATTTCCAACAATACACGAACTTTTAAGAATACTTTTGACACTTCCTGTTAGTGCAGCAAGTGCTGAGCGATCATTCAGCACTCTGAAACGCGCAAAGACTTGGTTAAGATCCAGAATGGGAGAAGAACGGTTGAATGGTCTCTGTTTGTTACACATACACCGTGAGATTGTTGTTGATGTAGATAAAATAATAGAGCGTTACGCCAAAATTGGTGATCACAGACTAAAATTTGCCAAAATATAATATAAATATGAAATATATTTAGTAACATATTAGAATATTCGAATGAACTTTTTTTTCCATAACACACTGTCATGCCCCCCCCCCCCCGAAAATGCTTTCTGGATCCGCCGCTGACGAGAGCTCTATTCTCAAGGATGAATTGGTTACCAAGGAACCTTCTATTTCTAAAGCTAATCCTGAGTCGAATAATGGTGATCTGTCTACAACTATAAACAGTGGGATTGGTATTAAAAATCCTAGGCTTGATGTGAATGCAATAGATAAGAGTGAGATAAGACCCTCCCGTAGACTTGATTTATGAGGGAAGATATTGTAATGTATTGAACATTGGCAACAGTGAAATGAAAATTGACAGGTGTCAATGTCAATGTATTTTCCGACAGTGGCACTGACACAAGTCTTGTACAAGCGACTAGCTAGACCAGCAAATCTTCCTCAAGGTTATCAGAAGGTTATTCGTGTTCATAAGACTTATAAGGGAATCTGAGGAAGGGAAGTATCTCTTCTGCATGAAAGAGGAGAGTACTTTCGACCTTACTTGTCCTGGATGAACTTTTTTCTGAAAAGTATAATTTGGAAAATCGATTGAGTGAGAAAAATTAAAGAAAAAATGACACCTCGCAGGGATTGAACCCCAGTCTGCAACGTGGAAGTCAGATACACAGACCACTCTCTATCGCTCTACTCGTATGAGTGTAGTTTCCCAATATGAAGAATGAAGAAATATCATGTGTCGTGGGTGACGTCACTTGACCTCGATGATTGAAAGATTTGCTGGTCTAGCTAGCCGCTTCTATGTCTTGTCACCCTCTCTTGTATTTTTGCACACAAGGAATAAGCATGTATGTAGAATGCTAAACTGATATATATGTGAGCATTACGTGGCATTCGACATTCAACATTCAAAATAGGTGAGGAGTTCTTAGCCGGCGCCAATAAATCTGAGATGTTATGATTAGTCGAAGAACTTTTAGTAATTTTGATGACAGCTTGTTTGTTTTATAAAGAGAAAATATTAGGTAACTCAACGAAGTGAGAAGTATGGGAGGGTTTATAGATCATTATTCTCTTAGCCGTGGTTGAGAGATGACCTTTTGTATACTATTTTCTAATAGATATTTGTGTACCGAGTATGTTTTATGGAGTTAACAAAATGAAGAGTTAGTTTTTTCCACGTCAGAAGTAGGGATCGACTCACTAAGTGTACCACGAGTGTTAAGCTGGATTTATGCACGACGCTTTTTCGTTAATCTTTCATTTCATAATCATCAACGTTTTCACTAACTTGTTGAAACATTGGCTAACAATATAACCATTAATGCATCAGATTTGTCATTTATCTTTCATTTCCGTTTCTTCAAGAGATGACCAACTTTTATCTCCATAACGTAAAATGAAGTAAAAATGTGGTTTGCGCAAGCGTGAATATAATGCCATCCTCTTTTCATAAAGTGTGGTTAGAAAAATGAAAAACTCCACATAACCTACAATCCGACAAAATCACAAAAGTTCAATAAAGTTTATAAGAAATTGAAATGAAAAATGTACGACGATGGTAGTTTAATTGACTTAGTTCGTCAGTATGCTTTCCTATATGATAAATCTGAAAAATCATACAGGACTAAAAACGAAAAGAAGAATGGCTGGAAGGCTATCGCAGATATCCTGCCATCAACCCGTGAGTATCCAACATCCTACCACCGTATTGGTATTAATTTTTTTTTTATTCTGTAGCTGAAGAGTGTGAGCAACGCTGGTTGCTATTGCGGAATAGGTTTTGCACTGAGTTGCGCAAAGAAAAAACCATCCCAACAGCAAGTGCACCAGGACAAATTTGACATAATGTTTGATGTGGTTGAAACCTCATGTAATCCCTAGGCGGTGAGTTTTTAGATGATTTCAATATATCCAGTATATACTGACAATAAAAACTTTTCAGAACTAGAGGAAATGTTTCAGTTCAAAGGGTGTCAAATGTGTGGGATACCATGGCTCAACTTCAGTCCACCAGAGAAAATAAAGAGAGGGAAGATGAATTATCTGACTCAGAATTATTAGAGTGTACCCAAAGCTCACAGAGCGAGTTAGATCTTTCTGTTTTAGAGGACTCAGAGGAACAAAATATCCAGCCGAGCTGCTCTACACCATAACAACAAAGGCTAGAATTGAAGGAGGTAAAGAACTCAATTAAAAAGCTCAAGACATCCAGGGGTGAAAATAATAAGGCTCTAGGAGAGGCACTCACTGGAGCATTAAGTTCTTTCGCAACAGTGTTGAACAAGAAAGATGAAACGAAAGAAAATAAGACTGATCCAGATGACATATTTGGCATTGTGGTGGCTCAATATTTAAGAGAAATTAAAGACAGCAAGAAAAAAATAGTTGTCAAAGCTGAAATATTGCATTTAACAGAAAATGTGATGTAATGTGGCATGGTGGAAGAACCTTCCACTATGTAATGTGGAGTATTTCTGTTTGTTCCTTTTTTACTTTTTTTGTAATACCTATTGTACCTGAATTTATTATGTTCTATTATTTGTACAGTAGGTCTTGCACGAGAATGAGAGATTTTTTTTTTTTATTTTTTAATAAATAGTTTTTTATCTGAATCATTATTCTTCTATTGTTATGAGAAATATTGACAGAAAATTATTCCACTAATGGTGGATCACTTGCACATAGTTTGAGAGAGTAGAAACGAAAAGACGAAAATGTAAAATGAAATGTATCCAAAGAAAAAAGAATTCATTCAATATCACAAATACAAAATTTGGTGAATAATATATTTAAAAAAATATCAAGGTACTTCCATCCTGAAGTGTGTTGGAAGGCTTCCACGCATCACGTATGACTCCTGCCATGGCAAGCCCCCTTCAGGAGAGTTGAAATATTCACATAAATTTTGCCTATTAATGAAAACATTTCAACTAGCATTGTTTGCCCCAACTCTTCCAACTCCTCTGATATTATTTTCCTGGCGCCACAAACCTGGACGCACAATGCCATCTTCATTTTCTTCATCCACATACCCCGTTGGACAATATTTTCTTCCATCAGGACTCATATCCTGCTCTCCTCTCTGTATGAAATTATGTAGTACAACACATGCTAACACTATATAATCACATGTGTCCATACTTGTAGAGAGAGTCCTCCTCAATATTCTCCACCTTTGTGCTAGGATATACCAAAGGTGTTCTCAATGGTCCTTATTGCCCAAGATATTCTATAATTGAAGATTTTTTTCCATGGTCAATTGTTTTCCAGGAAATGGCCGCATTATATGGGAGTGCAGGGGAAAAGCAGCATCAGCGATGAAAAAATTTGGTGATGATATGTTTGTACCTGGAATGCACTGGGGTTCTGGAAGATCCAACTGGTTATTTGAAATTTTCATGCCAAAACCTGAATCTCTGAAAATGATGGAATCATGATTCCCTCCAGATGCACCTACATCTACAAGTGTGAACCTATTGTAACGTTTTCAATTGCTCATATAACTTACTCACCAAACGTTACATCAGTGAGCTTAATTTTCTACTTAGTTCATTTAACTTAGCGAATCTCTAAGCAGTTTCTTTTTATTATTCATTCATAACAGAGTTTGGAACACTTTTGAGTATTGGATATTATTATGCATTGCTTCAGTCTGTGTTCTATCCTGGCGGCATATTGGTGTCCTGAGGGGAATAAAGCAGTTATTTAATCTATATAAAAATGAACACAAAAATAAACATAAGGTCACATAGTAACACAGGTGTGTAACAAGAAGCCAAACCAACTTACCGAGTTAAAATTATCAAACTCTTTCTGTAATCCCATCCTAGGGAGACGTAGTTGAATGATTTTCAGCCTATAAAAACCTGAAAAGAAAGGAATGTTGGTGAAATTTTGATCAGACAGTGGTGTGAAAAGTTAACAGGAAACATCAAGAAACTACTTTACACTTACCTCTCAAGTGTACATATTGTATATTCATATGGGTTTACTTCATAAAATAATTGTTTTTCTTTTTAAAATCCAATATCTACAGGTGATTGTCCAATGTTTACTTGTCGAAAATAGTAGGGTTATACATCTCCAATGTCAAGTGACTTCAATTCTTCTTCTCTTAACAATTTGAATTTCATTTACTCGAATCATAATAGGACAGTTCCTTTATGGCCAAGTATCCGGATGTAGCAGTAACCCAAGGTCATTATTCACAATAATTCACGGATTGTACACCAGTCCTGAACCAGTCCCATATTTCCTATGAAAGTTTCTGTAATGACGTCATTTATTGTCAGTGTCATGGATCTGTTTCGAATCTCTGATTTTCATGCAGATGAGTTTGTTTCGTGATTTTGTGTTAATTTCAAGGCTGATAAAATTGTCAAAAACAAAGTTGGACATTTTGACTTTTTGACTTTCATCTTTCGTCATTTTCATTTCCGTTCTTGGTTTCGTCGAAGCATGGTGAGTTCTCGAGCACTCGATTTTTTTTTTCTCTTTGAAAAAAAATACCTCATGTTAGGTTCTGGCTGTAGATTTTGGAACGAAAATCAAAGGATAGGGCGATTATGCCTAGCTGGTTCGACACCACGCTTTTTGGATTCCCGATTGGACACATTTTCTCTGCATGCCGGTCTCGTGGTTGGAAGCCCCATTTCGAAGAAGGCGGTGTCCACATGGGTCATCATTTTGATAAGAAGTCACCAACGCCGATGAATACTTCAAGAAAACCCTCTAACGATCAGAGGTGAGTTACTTCCTAAAACATCTTCATGCTTTTGTTCCTGAGAGGCATGGTAATTGAAACCATCAATCTCTTATAGGGTTTTTCTATCGACTGATATTGCCTCTATTTCTGGACTTGCCTTGCCACTGATTTTGACCAACAATTCTTGGAGAGTGTCCTGCATGGATCCGACATCTGGTTGCTGTTTGGCCGCCGTCTTTGCTGCTACTGCAACTACTGAGGATGCTGCACCGTTTTTCATCATGGATGGCCCCATTTGGTCCATGTCCAAGAAGCAATAGTTAATGTGCCTCTGCACATCTCCGAAGTCACCTGAAGCTTCCATGTATTCTTCAAGTCCACCTTAGACTATGCTCCACAAGTAAACCAGTCACCATTGGATAATACCAGGTTTTTTTTTATAACAAACATATTTCTTCCCTTTTTTTTACGATTTCGTCCTAAGTATATAGGTTCTATATTTCATATCCTTCTACTCATATCTGAAAGATTGGAGCTCGTTTCGCAATTCACTATATTGACAGGTATATGATATTATGTTGAACGCCCTGTAAAGGTTCATGAATCTCCTGGCAAAGAAACAAGTACAAGGAATAAAATTTCACTATATGACTATACATATATTAATATATTTTCATCATTTTTCTTATAAACCGAGCAGCCATAATAAACCATACTTAGGGTAAGATTGAGTGGTGAATTGTGTAATTTTTTTTTGTACAAACGATAATTTTTCTCATTATTAAATTGTGTATGTATTTGATGAGGTTTTCTTATTTCAACTGAATCTCTCTCTCACATTACAGGTTTCTGATTTTGCCAGGTCTAATAACTGTCTAAAAAAATCAGTGGCGCCCTTTTCAACTTTTGATACATATTTAAAACAGCACATATTGTTTTACATTTTTTTTGTATAAAACTCCAATCAACCAATGGTAATTTCTATGTCAATTTAGCAATAGACTCACGCCCTTGTGCCTCCGATGAACAGCTGCCGTTAGCAGTGAAATAGTAAAAAGTACGTTTCAGTGTCTTTTTATAATTGAAAAAATGTGAACCTGCATTGAATGGGGCTTGTATTTCTACATGCTTCCCATCAATGGCTCCGAATTTGGAATGTTCCATCTGTTGAAGAACTCATTAGAAATTGTTTTCCATTGTTCTCTTGTAGGCTCTTTTAAAACTATGGGTTGCAAGGTTTCATATAAAACTCTTGTGGTTTCCTTCATCACATTGCTGACTGTTGATAAACCCAAATAATGACTAAAAGCCAGTTCCTGAAGGGAGCATCCTGCAGAAAGATAACTGGAAAAGATGTGATCAATGACCATGCAACAATCATAAATAAAATTATATTTACTGTAGAGTCAGAATCAGTCGATGTGGAGGTGAAAGTGGATGTCTTGAGGGGTCTTTTTTTAGTTTGTCCTCCACCAAACTGAGTAAATAAAAGAACAACTTGGTGGTCATTCTAGAGTACCTAAAGAACATTTCTTCATCCTCCTGAACCATGGCAGTTAACAGGTTATTGAAGAGACCCTATTCTTTTCGCAAACGATTTATCGGTCTCAATTCAAAACGTCTAGGCTTTCTCCTCATTAAAAAATAGTAGGCCGTACTGGCAATCAATAGAAATAGAATCCCCTCTTCAACTTCCATTGTTTAAATTAATCAAACTGGTGAGTGAAAATATGAAAACTCAAAAAGAGGCGGTAAAACCATAAAACATTGGTATTTGAGGTTAAGTATTTGTTCATAGAATTGTAAAAACACAAATGCACATATCTGGCTAAATACCTTAAAGACTATATTTCATGAAAAAGTAGAGTTTTATTTTAAGGAAATCTGTGCATAAATGTATAAAAATCCTTAATGAAAATGATACTAGATGACAGTTAATGAAAGCGAAAGAGTGCGATGTGCATAAATACGCCTTTACAATTACGGACTCTTATTATTTTAAGTGGAACCTGGAGTTTGAACTTTGAACAATGGAAGAGCTTACGCAAGTATCAACAGCGACTCTTCGTGAAATGAAAGAACTATCGTGTCGAAGTTCGGTACCCCTAACGTCGATTGAAATTCCAAAA